CAATGCTTATGCACTCGGCACAAGGAACCGGCACGGTTCGATGCATGTCGAGTCTATGTGCATAGGTCTTGTTCACTTGATATATATCGTGGTTGACATTGCTTCCAGTGTACCTGCAGGTCCTTTTCGTCTCTGGATTGAGCCATTCTAGACTACGACTTCTCTCGGTTATTCCACTGCAGATTCTATTGTCTTCGACATGACAAATAATTGAGAAGGAGAGTATCACCATGACTATTGTGATGAAGATGTGATGATCTACCGTGGCGATAGCAGACATGCTGCGGACGACGGCCCGACTCCCGCAGCCGCAGTACATACAGCAGATCCCTGTGGGGTGCTGTAGCTCCTATTCCTAGTCCATATTCCAAGTCCGAAGTCCATAGTGAATAATGGTCTCTGTAAGTCCGTCGTATGATTCTTTGCTTGGGGCCCGCTGCAATCTCCTGAAATAAAGAGACGTTGGAACTGCGTAGGGACAGGACCAATCATCGGCTGATAGAAAAGAGCGTAGGCGCCTGCGGAGTTTCCTCATCCATAAGTTAGTTCCATTGTCTTGAGTCAGAGCTTAGGAGTTCGGGCCTATCCAATCCTGACCCCGCTCACTAACTTCATTAGCCAAACTGGTTGGATGCTTTAGGTTCCGCAGCGCAACCATGGATAAAAGCCAGCCTCAACCGCCTGGATCTTCAGACGGTCAGGGCTCTAGTCGTAAGTCTAGTCGTGGCTCTAGTCCGGCGGCCAGCTGTTAAGGACCAATGTCGTCCAGCCATCCGCCACTGCGCTAGGACGGAATCCGCAAATGCGGTAGCAATCAGGCAAGGCCAATGCGGATGTCGGCGCTCAGGATCCAGGTCGCACCTGTGATGTTTGCAACCCTGCAAATTACAATCTGAATAGTGGCCAATCAGATGTGTGTTGGACTGGTTCTTCATGCTATGACCTGGATGATGCGGAACTTATTTATGGACTGGGTCTGAACTAGTCAATTTCCTAGTTTCCTTATCACCTATCTCCTCCGGACTCCGTAGTTTTTTGGCACAGACAACGAGCGGGTTAAATCGGCGCATTCAAATTGTCCGGAACATGACCAAAGGTACTAGGTAGGTAGGTACCTTTACTCGAGAGTGAGGAACACCTCCGAGCAAAACATCTTTGGCCAATCATCATGTCAATCGGAGTCACGCTCACAATTTCATTTTACATTGTCAATACCACTAATTGCAACAATGAGGAATAATGATCGACTAAAACCAAACTACCCAAGTACTCACAGTAGCGACGGCTGTACCTTGCAGCTGCCATGCACTCCAACCTCCGTAGCTAACCTAACTACCATACAACCTATCCAAGACCAAATCCGGATCCAAACTGAATGAACGCCAGTAACCAAATCCTGCAGCGAAGCTAGCAAAACCAACGGATGGCCTAGAAGCGAAGGTTTCGGATTAGCTCGCAGATAGCAGTTCTTGGCCGCAATGTGCATCCTGCAGGAATTTACCCAGGATTTAGTACTCCGTGTCTACTGCACTCTGTATCGGCAGATACAGTGCAGAAGGAAATAGCGGTATCTAGATACTTTGTGGTACTGGAAGTTTACAAATTCTATCTTGCAAGGATACCTATCTTCATATCCATCCTTCTCGGACAGTCTTTGTATGGACTCTCCAGGCATACACGAATAGACCTTCTCCACGTTACACCTGACTATCGTTTATGACCGGTGTGACATGGTAAGGATTGGACATGAGGTAAGTACCCTCGTAAGAGTCTTGCTTGCAGTATCGGAATTTCTCTCGCCAATCACAGAAGCCAGCAGATTTAGTCTAGCGTGCAAGGCAAAATTATAGAAAGTTGCCTTGTCTCCGTACAGATACAGTCAGCATCTTGAAACTGGTCCTGTGCGACCCTAGGGAGTATATGCTGTGCCACGCTGTATCTTCTAGAATCCAGCCTGGATGGAATGGAATGGAATGGAATTAATGACACATTCCGATACGATCGCATCGCCTCGAGTTTGCAGTCTTCACGAGAATGAAGGTGTAACCTGGCCAGCAGTTACAGGGGTGGCCATGCCCCCAACAAGCGCTCCGAGAATACCAATACTCCACCGGACATTTGACTACCCTGTGGTATCAGCAATGCTCGAGTCAGCCAGGTCATATACTCGCCCCCTGGCCGAAACGCCTGCGAACCAATGATCTACTTGCTGATCCTGTCTTGCTGATCCTAATCCTGACAGCGCGAAGATAGATACTGCCCCCGGCAGCATCCGCAGACTTGATAGGTTGATGGTGCATGGGGGTTAGATTATCAGCGCCAACGGTCATGGTCAGTTTCGGCTTGGCCTCCAGCTTCGCTCCGGCGCTTGCTGCGACAGCCTAGTCTACGGAGTACGGAGTACAGCCTACAGCAGGGCTAAGCATCGAGGACAACGGGATTATCATAGTAACTGGTGATTATACATGATGTGCATTGCAGGTAATTAACCTTACATTGCATCCCGCTCGCTGCATTTTGCGGATGCAGAGGCAGATATCATATCAATAGATCAGGGAGGATCTCAATTGTGAGCGGCGACAAATATATTCCTAGAGGTACTTGGATGATCCCATTCTATCTCGTCATAATGCTGTACTTTGTACGTATACCGAAATGGATAATGTCCGACATTTCCAGCCTGGCAGGATGGATCGCTAGATCATCGCCGGCGTGTAACCACAAGCCAAATCCCTGTTTGACTTGACTTGAGTTTTGGGAGGTAAATCTCTAGTCCATACAGACAAGGAGATGAATTCTGTGCAACACGCCTTCAACAGCTGACCTGGTAGGTAGTTACCTACTGTTGATGACGTTGACCAATCGACAAAGTTGAAGACATAGCATGGCAGTCAATCCTCACGGACCTCCTCTCCTCTTCTTGGACTCGGCGGGATTTCCCCTCAGATCATCGTCCTCATCAACAGACACCAACGACGAACAACAATTTGGCCAGGCTCCTGGTTCTTAGGTAGTATCTACTCGGCAAGCAATAGAGGGGCAAGGTGGTGAAAAAGTGACGAATGCGATTGGTGGAAGTGAGAGCTCATCCTGGGACTGCACATGTTGAGGGGCGTCAAGTGGCGGATCGACTGGCTGTGGGAGCGACCACGTAGTCGGCGGAGGGGACACGGTCACCCGTGATGCAGCGAACCGTGAGCCTCCAGTGGTTACTGCCCAAGTTATCTATGCCATCTATTAGATAGAAGGTCTAATAATAAATTATGACAATGGTAATGCAGTGACAACGAAGATTAGCTGAATCAAGGGAAAAAGCAACTGATTGAACCTACCACCATCGCCAACTGGTCATGGTCACCCACGTAACAACACCACCGGAGATAATTTGAATCAAATTACTCCGTATCGTAGCGAGATAATCAATGATCGATTCATGGCTTGACCGCCGATACCCCCTTCGCTTTCGCCATGCCCCTTGCTTGATGGCGTGGCGCTGTCCTGTACTCTGGACAGTACACGGTACTCCGGAGTCCTTACAGTACGTGCATACATTACATTACCAGTATCTAGTGCAGCAGGGTCTGGTCTGCGAGGTCTGGCCGCCATCCACTCTTACCTTAGCTTGGCAAAGTTGCACTGGCAAATGACGGGATCCAAGTTTCAGCTGCAGCGACCCGTTGGTGCATATGCGAGTGTTGAGGGAGCAGACCAGGGTGGATGGATGGGGTTGTGGTTGTGGTTGTGGTTGTGGATGTGGATGTTGGACCGATCCACGTCCATCCACAACCACCCATCCCCGCTTGCCAGATCATCACTTTTGATTATTACCTTGGTTTGTTGACATGAAGGTGCACGGGTCAGACTCTGTCTCGACTATTGAACTGTCCATGAATAAATTGAAATATGATACTATGAAATAGGAAATTCAGTACGCAGGGCTCCACATGACTTGGTGTCATCACACTCGTGATCTCCAATGCAAAGCTGCGGTCACCTCTCGCCAGTAGACAGTCTGTTCATGCTCTGACAATGACGAGCATGATCTACTTGCCTCATATACACACTTACACAGTAGCCAAAGCGATAGTCATTCTGTCCCAGACATGGCTATCGTGCATGACGTAGTCATGGTGGCTGTATACATCTGTACTACCTCGGATACTGTGCCCAGCACCGCCCAGTATGTACCATCAGGCAGTATGTACTATGTACTATGTACCCCCTTGATTCTCTACACGACTCGCAAGTGGAGGATAATCAAGTATACACGTGTATCTGCATACAGAAAGAACGAAGACTTGAGACATCAGGATCATGTCAGATAGCCACCCCAAGAATGTAAATCGTTTCCTTGCTCATCCACTTCCAGCCAGCCACTACTATCAACAGTCGACTGACCGCAACCTCATCCTCACCGTCTTTTCAATGACATTGTCAATAGTCAAATCTACTGCGTTCGATAAATCGCGAGACGGAGTGTCGTTCTGGTTGTACTCCATCTCAGCAATTTGTGCACAGTGCACAGCGCACCGTACACTGACGCTGCACAAGTTCTTATGCCTTTATGCAAAGCGATGTAGTCAACCTTATTTTGATGCCGCATTGATGTCGAGTCCTGTAGGATGTAGAGTATACAGCAGATGTACCTGTTCTGAGCTGTGATGTTAGATGTGAACAGATCAAGGAGGGCGTGCATTTCTGATAGTGCAGAGTACTGTACATCAGATAAAGACAGGGATGGACTTAATCAACTTGTACACTGCATAGATGCGAAATGGACGTATGTGCGAGTTTATTCGGACTTCGAATTTGCAAATATATCTTGACACTGACATCTGAGCAGTGGATGTATATCTGAACATATATTTCATGAAGCGTGAGCTATTCAGACATATATATTTATATGTCCGATATAGTGCGTGGTTACAGACAGTCAGGATCTGATGTCACTTGGGTATAGATCAATAAACACAATGAGCATCAATGGCATGAAGTACTGCTCAGGCATCCACCGACTTCTGCCTTTCCCGATGCTTCCGCTCCATCTGCAGCTGTTTGGCATACTTAACCCCAAAGCCATGTGTATACACCTCCCGCACCGACTCCAGCGGCATATTATGCACCTCCGCATAACAGAAGATGACAAACACCCAGCCGACAAAGCAAATCCCAGCATAGAAACCAAACGCCCCGCTCGGCGTCATGGCCTTCATCATCGACAGAAACGTCGACGAGATGATAATGTTGCAGCCCCAGCAGGTCACCGTGTTCATCATCGTGCCGAGCGCGCGGACTTCCAGCGGGAGGAACTCCGTGCCAACCCATGCGATTGGGGCGACGCCGGCGGCGAAGAAGGCGACGTAGATGATGATGGTCACAAGAAGGAGGATACTGGCCCAGCTCATTTGTTGCGTTTGGACTACGGTGAGGTCGTGGTTGACGGGAATCCAGTGGAAGGCAATGGCGGCGACTACTAGAGAGAGGGACTGTGGGTTGTTAGACAACTATCTTCGAGTGAGAGGGATAAGACTTGCCATTCCGAGGACAGTGATCAAGAGGACCACGCGTCTGCCAAAACGATCGATGGAGAAGAAATTGGCGAAGCCGAACAGAAAGTTCGTCGCGCCAACCACCATCGACACCGCGGTGGGTTTGTTGAAGCCTACCATGGAGAAAAGCGTGGCGGAATAGTACATGAGCGTGTTGAACCCGCCCAGCTGGGATATGGCCATGACCATGCAGGCCGTGACGAGGGCGCGCACGTTCTCGCGCACCGTGAAGAGCTGCTTCATCTGCCACCAAAGGCTCCTCTCCGAGACAGACACCGCCGCTTCTTCAATAGAATGCTGAATCAGCCGGGCTTTTGCATCGACCTGCTGATCGGTGGCTTGTGGGAAGATCCGTTTCAACACTTGCCGTGCCTCTTCGCCACGGCTATGCGAGATCAATTGGCGAGGAGTCTCGGGACACCAAGGCATTGCGGCGCCCAGCATCAGGGCTGGAATCGCCCCGATACCGACCATGTACCTCCAGCCATGAGTTACATCCGTAAACGCAGCGCCGAGTGCGTATGACACAAACTGACCGAACGCCACACAGAGATTATCGAAGACGATCAACCGGCCGCGGAATCGAGCAGGCGCCATCTCGCCGATATACAGCGGGATGATCATGGCGGCGTTGCCGACACCAAACCCAACGATCAGCCGTCCAACCGTCATTTGGGCTATGGAGTACGCAGCGGCCTGGATCACGGTGCCAACAACAAAGAGCGCACAGCCCACGTAGATGCCGAGCTTGCGTCCGTACTTGTCAGACGTTAGACCGGCTAGCACTGCGCCGATCAGAGCGCCTCCGGAGGTGATGGAAGTGATCAGCTCTTGCTCGCTAGAGGATAGGGCTTTGCCCAGCTCTGTTCCCAGGCTGACCAGTACAGCAGAGATGACGCCAGTGTCGTACCCTACGTTCATTAATTATTGCTCCATGGTATGGAAATGAATACTCACCGAACAGGAACCCTCCCATGGACACTGTACAGGCAATTAACCAGACAGTCTTTCCCGGGTCGGTCATCTCAATCGAGTCGTCTGGACTCTCATCGCCGAGATGCTCTTGATGGACGGCTTCTGCTTTGCCATCCAGTGACAGCTTCGTTGAGTCGGCGTCGGAATCCATTGCGGCTTGATCTGATCTTCGTCGTTATACTGGCACGCTGGTATAGAGCTGGATGATCCTGAGGAGTCAATACACTCCTTGTTGCTGAACAGTGAGATCAGAACATTTTATACCAGACGCATAATGCATCCAACCCCTCACGCCAAACCTTGTCAACAACCGAGCACACTTGAGAATCGACAGATACATGAAGCCAAACGACTATACGCAACATGATACACGGGGCCCCAGTTTTCCCCGCATTGATTCCCCGGACGCCATACTTCAGTGCATTCGTCAGCGGACATCCGGCTATCGAGATCAGATACCGGCGTGGCTTGCGGGATTGAGACCTGTTCATGGAAACAAAAGCCGATCCTAGCTTGTTAACGCTGGAAGTGGCAACTCTATCGCGGGGTGACTGGACCCTATTTTGATCGACGGCGGGGGGTGTTGGTTGTTGCTTGTTCCTTGGTTGCGCTGAAGTATATCGCGGTGGCGGTCCGAAGGGGAAGTATTCCCCGCATATGCATGTACAGCAACTGAGCAACTGAGGAAGAGAACGATTTGTGCTGATGACATGGCAACGTTTGGGCTGCCTTGTTACAGTGCACAGCCCTCCGTCTTTGGTTCCCAATCGAAGGCTTTCTTCTGTCTTCTAAGATATAAGAGCTTCTGCTGTCTACTACCGTGTCGTGAATCGAACTTCCAACAACTAGACTCTGTACTTCTTGAGCACAGTCACAATGTGGTCATTTTTAACAATTGCCCCGTATGCATGCATACTGGGCCTCCTCCTCTTCGTCTATTTCATTGCCTATCCAATTGTGGAGTACATCCGGGATCCTAAAGGTGAGTAAACCTGTTGCGGTCTTATTCTTATGTCAAGACTGACTAGTTAGGCCTCCGGAGATATCCCAACTTCCACCCCTTCTCAGGCATGTCTGCCATTCCTTTCATGGCGCTGGCATCCCGAGGATTCCGCTCCATGGAGCTCATGAAGCTACACCGCAAACATCCCGTGCTCCGCACAGGACCCAACTCGCTGTCGTACGGCGATGTCCGCGCCATCAAGGACATCTACGGGCATAACACCAAGTGTATCAAGGACCCGTCGTACATCGTCACGGCAGGCACACACTACCATCTCGCCGACGTGGTCGACAAGCCGGACCACGCGCGCAAGCGCAAGGTGCTGTCCTCGGCGTATGCCCTCAAGAACCTGGAGACGTGGGAGTACAAAGTCAGCGACAAGCTCGAGCGGTTGATCGCGCACTTTGACCGGGTCTGCACGAAGCCTCCCTCCCCAGCTATAGCGGAGGGCAAGGCGGCACCCGACCCGGCGGATCTGACGGTCGACTTTCGCGCCTGGACCAACTACTTTACTCTCGACGCCATTGCCGACATTGGTCTCTCGGAGAAGCTCGGCTTCCTGGACAGCGGCAGCGACGTGTGCACTGCCGAGAGAAAAGACGGGACGACGTACGAAGTCCATCTCCGCGAGGCGCTGTATCCGACTGCGCGCAAGCAGTCGCTGATCCTGTGGAACTATGAATGGTATCCCGTGCTCAACAAGCTAGTCAATGTCGTCCCATTCTTCGGGCGCATGCAACGCTCGTCAGACAACTGGGACAACATCGTGTGGCGGCGCGCATCCCAACGCCTCCACCGCTACGAGGCCGGCGAGAAACTGGACGATTTCTTCCAGGCGCTGATGGAGGACAAGAACGGACACCCAAATAACCTGGAATGGGGCGAGATCGTCGCTGAGGTCAACATCATGATGAACGCCGGCAGCGTGACGACCGCAATCGCCATCGCCAACGTCATGTATCAGCTCCTCAAGAACCCGCGCTGCCTAGCGAAACTCCGCGAAGAGGTCGACGCCGTCCTGGAGGAGGATGAAATCATCGCTCCCTACGACAAAGTCAAGCACCTCCCCTACCTCCGCGCCTGCCTCGACGAATCCCTCCGCATCTTCCCGCCCACCTCGCACGGCCTCCCGCGCCAGACCCCGCCCGAAGGCATGGAGATCCTGGGCCAGTGGGTACCAGGCAACACCTCAGTGAGCATCTCGGCGCTGGTCGCCCACCGTGATGAGTCGGTCTTCCCGCAGGCGGACCGATACATCCCCGAGCGGTGGCTGGGCGAGGAAGGCAAGGCGCTGCAGCCGTACTTTGTGGCTTTCTCTGCGGGCGCACGGTCCTGTATCGGGCGGAATATCTCTTACCTGGAGCAGACCAAGGCGATTGCCTCGCTGGTGCATCGGTATGAGTTTGCTCTGCCTCATCCTGGCTGGGAGTTGAAGCGGTTGGAGACGATGAATTTGATTTTGGGCGATATGCCAGTGAAGGTATGGAGGAGGCAACGAGACATGATATAGCATGAATCCACAATCCATTGCATTACATCCTCCATAGCCTAGCCTTCAGAGGTGGTTTCGTAGATACTGTGCATGCAGAAATAGAATAGTTCGCCCCGTGCACTACTCCAAAAAAAAGGATAATTCATAATTCCCACACATCCGTCAACTGTACCGGTCAACATCCTCATTCCATCATCCACGAATTACCTCACGATAGAAAAAAATGGGTTACCATCCAATCGAACTCCGCATCCAAGTCCTCTCCCTCTCAGCCTTCGGCGTCGACTCCAAAGCCATAGCAGCAGGGCTAGACATCCCCATCCGCAGCGTCCAGAGGATCATCCACCGCGCCAAAGAGCGGGGATTCGATCCCGCAACGAACCCGCGTGTCAAGATGGAGTACGTAGAGGATGCGGAGAGGTCTGGCCGCCCGAAGAAGGGAAGTAAGTTGGTGGCGGCGGAGTCGCAGGCTGGTTCTACATCTGGTCCTGGTTCTGGCTCTGGTTCTGCCGTTGAGGCCGAGTCTGAAGCTGGGGAGGGGAGGTCGATGCCTGAGGCCCAGGCCTGAGACAAACAAGGGGAGTTTTCCCCGCGGGGAATGTTTCCGTTTGGGGACTGGGGATTGACTGCGTCTGGACAGTGCAGAAACTACTGCTTCTGATGCTGTCAACCTTACGCGACATCTTCTCACTGTCTGGGATGCAGACGCGGATTTCTGCCCTGTTGGTTTATTGTTTTGTGCCTCGCTGCAACGTGGGTCAAATACCGATACTTGGCTGTTGGATCGCCGTCGGCGAGATGAACGAAACGGGCTGTCAGCTGGGTCATACTCATAGGTTATTCCCCGCGATTTTCGAGAGCTAGGATCGTGAGGGAAAGTTACTCCATGCTGTGGCGATGGCTCTTATGTCTTTACGTTGTTGTCCATATATCTGGGCTCTCCTGGATGTCTTTCAGATGACCATCGACAAGTGACTGCCTACGTTCATTATGTCGCTTTTCTCTCAATGGAGCTCGCACCCCGAGGTTCTTCGGGATCTCTTCAAAGTAACCACCCCTGCAAGTGTCGCCGACTATGCTGCTTTGACTGTCCTCAGCATCATAGCGGGAACCTATGTCTCCCGAGGCATTCTCTGGGACCGGCCCGATCCTTATCTCCATCTTGTGTACGAACGGCCGCAATTGAAGAACGGCGGCGCGGCTGGCTCCAAAGGCAATAAGCAGACCCGCAACATTGCTCAGAAAATGGACGAAACGGGCAAGAATGTCGTGGTCTTTTGGGGCTCCCAGTCCGGCACTGCCGAAGGCTTTGCGCACCGGCTGGCCCGCGAGGTCTCGCTACGGTTCGGTCAGGAGGCCATGACAGCCGACTTGTCCGATTATGATCCGGACTCTGTCAGTATGATCCCAGACTCCAACCTGGCGATCTTCATTCTCTCGACGTACGGTGAGGGTGATCCCAGCGACAACACCGCCGAGTTCTGGGATTGGATTCACAAGACCCAGAACGTCTCCCTGTCCAACCTCCGCTATGCTGCTTTCGGTTTGGGCAACAGCAACTACAAGTTCTACAATCGCGTCGTGGACGTCGTCGTGGACGCTCTGGATCGATTTGGGGCTAAGTCGTTGATGCCCGTCGGCAAGGCGAACGATGCTGAGGGCACAACACAAGAGGATTTCATGAGCTGGAAGGAGGATTTGTTTGCCACGTTCAAACAGCAGCTGGGTTTTCAGGAAGGCGAGGTCAAGTATATGCCGACGCTGTCCGTCCAGGAAGACGAGTCGCTGGAGCCCATCGACCTTCACCATGGAGAACCGGACAACCGCCGTGACTCGTTCAAATCCGCTGCTCAATGCTCTCCCGTACGGGCAGTCGACATCAGCAGCAATAGGGAACTCTTCGCCTCCTCCGATCGCCACTGTCTTCACATCGAGCTCGATCTCAACAGTCAACCTGAATTTACATACAAGACCGGTGATCATCTGGCCGTCTGGCCGGGCAATCCAGATGCCGAAGTGGACATCCTCCTCAACGCCCTGGGGCTTCCTCCGTCCCGCCACGAGGTACCCATCAGCATCACATCGCTCGACCCAGCAACTAAAGTGAAAGTGCCCACTCCCACAACCCCCATTGCCCTCTTCCGCTACTACCTGGAGATCTGTGCCCCTGTCAACCGCGACACTCTCCTCGGACTCGCCCAGTTCGCCCCCACGCCAGCAGCCAAGGACTTCCTTCTCCAGCTCGGGCAGGACAAGACAGCCTACGCCAGCTTCCTCAACCACACCCACCTCACCCTTGGTCGGCTTCTGCAGCTCGCCTGCCCTGATACACCGTGGACAACCCTCCCACTCTCCTATCTCATCGAGACGCTCACCCCAATCCAACCCCGGTACTACTCCATCTCCTCCAGCAGTGTCCTCGCCCCACGCAAACCATCCATCACCGTCCTCGTCTCCTCCACCCCGCTCCCGGCGAACCCAACCCAAACCATCCATGGCCTCACATCCAACTACCTCCTCGCCCTCTCCGCATCCCTCGCCTCGTCCACCCACCCCCACGGCCTCACCTACCCCCTCTCCGGTCCCAACGCCAGCCTGACCGGCGGCAAGATCCATGCCCACCTCCGCCGCAGCCGCTTCAAACTCCCGCTCATGAGCAAATGCCCGCTCGTCATGGTCGCCGCCGGCACGGGGCTGGCCCCTTTCCGCGCCTTCATTGCCGAGCGCCGCCAGCTGAGCCTCATCGGCAAGGAAATTGGCGAGATGGTCCTGTTCTTCGGGTGCCGATCCCCAACTCAGGATTTCATCTACAAGGAGGAACTGGACGAGATGCAGGCCGCCCTTGGCAGTAAGTTGCGCGTCATCACTGCGTTCTCGCGGGTCGGCGGCGAGAAAGTCTACGTGCAGGATCGGATTGCCGAGCATGCCGCCGAGGTAATCCGGCTGATTGACGAAGGCGCGAACGTGTACATCTGCGGCCGGGCGGGGATGGCCCGCGAGGTGGAAAAGTCGGTAGGGGAGGCGATGCGAGCGGCCAGACAGTGGAGCGAGGCCGAACTGAACGAGTGGAGCAAGGCAATCAAGAGGAAGAATAAGTGGCAGGAGGATGTTTGGGGATAAGTTTTGTCATAGTTGCGCGCTGTCTAGAAACTTTTGTCCTATTGGTATTATACAAAGAACTTTTATTCTATCCTAGCCAGCCAGCGTGTAATCATATCGTCCATAACCGTTTATCTACTAGCACGTAAGTGATTACCGCTTCTCGGCCATCCGTTTCCCGGCCTGCGAGAAAATCTGCTGCCAGATCCCGACCCACTGCTGCTGTTTATACGACAGCACCTTCTGCGGGTCGCGGACCGTGCCCGCGAGGATCTCCCGGATGCGCGCACTGAGGATCTTCAGCGCGAGCATGGCCTTCCAGTCGCGGACCGCGAAGCGGATGCGGTTCGCGTCGATGGAGACAACACCAGAGTACATCTGCAACAGTCAGTCAGAATCGCTGCATCTTTGCAAAACGGAAGGAGGACGGTTACGGACCTTGAATTCGGCCTCCCCGCACAGCAGCGCAATGGCAAAGTCGTCCACGGCGTTTGTCTCAAAGGCGTTGTAATTCCGGCTGCGGGCCTGCATGATGTGGTAGTAGGAGAGCCATTTCAGGGAGGCGTCGGCGTGCTTGTTGACGGAGGTCGGGTGCAGGGTGACAGACTGGTTGTTGGCAATGTTGCGCCAGCCTTTGCCTTCGCGGGTGAGCAGTTTCGGGTAGAAGCTCCAGGCGATGACCGAGTTGACGACGACGTCGTTGCTGCTGTTTGTGTCGTAGACCTCGGGGATGGTGAAGAATTGCCGTTGACGGCCGCCGGATCGGGCTCTGCGTTGTGTGAGTTTTGAGTCATATGGATATAGGGTAGGTGGGGGGAAACCTGTTTAGCATAGTCTTTTGGGTCGGATCCAAGATTAGAAGCCCTGCATCTGCAAGGGAGGCTATGAGCTGCATCTTGATGTCTTCGATGTTCAACAGCGTTTGCGAACTGAGGAAGTTCTTCCGGCAAAAGGCATATTCGTTGGCCCCCGGTGTACTTCTTGTGCGCTTCCAGGCGCAGTATGCATTGTATACAGTTAGGAGGTCGGAATCGCCTGACCTAAATTAGCATAGACCTCGACGTAGCAATAAGTTACCTACCCTTCTTGAATGAAAGCCTCGCAAGATCTTTCTGATTGTTTGATCCCATAGTATTGACAAACGGCGATTTGGATGAAAGAATGGCGGCAATGCTAATGCAAGCGTCTAGGCACTTGAAGAACACGCCGTGGATGATCAACTTTCCGAGGAAGACATCCAGGGGCAATTTGGCAAGCTGCATGCCCAGAGGTGTCAAGCTCTCCGAGTTGGTGAGTGCTTTGACTTCTTTCAGCGAGTCAATCGCACGGCGTATGTTCTTGGACGATGGTGGATCCAATGCCTCGAGGAGAGTCTGCTCCACTTCGCCGAGTTTACAGATCTTGACACGCAGCACAAGATCTTGCAAGGATAGCCGAAGCATCTCTGGTGTCTGTTGCTCTGCGAGCTGTGTGGTTGTTAGTATGGAAGGACTAATGATAGGACTTTGGACATACCAGTTTATCATGTCGATGCTTGGTGAACAAGTGGAAACAGATACCGCTCTGCACTCGTCCAGCTCTTCCTCGGCGTTGCTTTGCATTGGCACGCGAGATAAAGGCCTCCACGAGCCTTGAAAGTTGTCGTCTCTCGTCAAACCTAAAATGTGTCAGCAGGGTCTTGCATGAAATCGCTGCTTGATACCCACCGCATCGTCTTTTCCTTGCCGGCGTCGATGACTGCGGTAATATCCGGGATGGTGATACCTGAGAAGTCAGCATCTGATTATCGTGGCAGCCTTGCAAACATACCTGTTTCTGCAATGTTTGTGGCAATGACAATTTTTCTCATGCCCTCGGGAGGCACAACAAACGCCTTTTCCTGGTCTTCGCTGGCAATGGAAGAGTGAAGTGCATGTACGATCCAGCCTGTCTGGAAAATTGGATCTGAGAGAATCTCATCATTCAGACGACGAATTTCCGCCATGCCAGGCATGAACACCAGGATGGCTCTGCTGTAGGGCGCCATCTCCGGTGCCGACGCGAGTTTCACTAGCAATTTTTTGATGAGCTGGTAGTCGAGGCGGTACTCGTCGAAACTGAGTACTGTTTCGCGAGTTTGCTTGGAATATCCTTCAAGAGTGGCTAGCAGGCCGCCAGCTGTGTCGCCTTCCCCGTTGTCCGACGGCGTATCGTCCACATCTTCATCAATCACAGTGTTTGCCTCGTTTTCCAGTAGGCGGTAGTTGGTCAGCTCGATCGCATCCTCCAAGAACTTCATCTCGACAGGAAAGGTCCGTCCAGGTATATTCAGCACAGGAACGCTACCGAGGTATGAAGAGAAACGTTGAGCCTCGAGAGTAGCCGACATCAGTATCAACTTCAAGTCTGGCCGTTTCTGCATTAGTCGCCGAAGCACAATCAGAAGAAAATCGCTGTCAATGGTCCGTTCATGAACCTCGTCAAGAACAACATGAGTAATGTCCTGGAAGTCGTCGGGACGCTCCAACATCCGTACTACCACTCCGGTTGTACTGCATCAGATCAGTATGACTTCTGAAAGTAGGGGCATGATACATACGCAAACACCAGTCTCGTGGATTGGCTGACCTTGCTTTCCAGCCTAACAGCAAAACCGATCAGAGACCGGGACGTCCCAACGTCTGCCTTACTCTCCCCAAGCTCTTCACTAACTCTGCGCGCCAGGGATATAGCAGAGATCCTCCTAGGCTCCGTCACATAGATCTTGCAAGGACGACCTTGTTTCAACTCATGCTCAAGGATGAACGAAGGTATCTGTGTGCTTTTTCCACTTCCTGTCTCACTGCAGATGATAACGGCACGATGAGTGTCCAGCGTGTTGAGAATTTCGTCCTTAAACTCCCAGATCGGCAGGTTCATACGTCCCTGAACCATGTGTTCGAAGGATGGTGTGGAGGATTTCTCCGCCCATATTCTCTTCAACTGCTCGTCAGACTCCTGGACTCTGGAGCCGACCTTCCCGGGAGACTCTGCTTTACCAGCTGCGCCATTCCTCCGCCGGAAATTATCCGACAATACAACATCGTCTTCAAAGGTACCCTGGTTCTCTTGAATCAGGGTCCTAAGGCCCTTGACAACCTTTTTGTCACCTTCTTCCTCCTGAAGCTTTTTGACGTCTGCTAACTCAGTCCACAGATCCCGCCAGACGGCCGGGAGTCGCAGATAAGCTTTTCCTTCTTTCGAGTTTTGCGGGAATAGAATGAAAAGAGCTATCGTTGACACAAAAGCCTCTGCCTGCTGAGAAGTGGATGTAGCGACCGACTCCATTGATACAAATGTCGTGTAAGAGTTCGATTTATGTGTGACCATATCCACTTCCAAGGGGAAAGGCACGTCTTGAGGTTTCGACCACCTGACTTCAACGGCCTTTCGATTCGTATGTGAGGAGGGTGAGAAGTCTTTATAAGTAATCGTACATCCGGTATCCCTAAAACGCCATGAGTTTTTTGGTTTACCACAAAAGGATCGCCTACAGGTTCATACCTGGACTTGCACGTCTCTTCCAGGACCCGTCGAGGACTAAGCCCCGTCCATTTACCGAAGTCACGCATCGTGACGGAGGCTTTTTTGAGCTCTTCTGTAATGATACCAGTCTCCAAGATTGGCTCTTCAGTCTCGAACATATCTCCAAGAAGATCTGCTGTATCTCCGTTGTCGTCCATGAACTCTGCACCACTATCCGCCTCAGTCGACGCCTCATCCGGCTTCCTTACCTCGGGTTCCACAGGCGCACCGTTTCCTTCGTCGCGAGCAACACGTCTGGAAAATGCTGCTTCCCTCCTCAGGTCATCAAGCTTCTCCCTCCACCGGTACTCGGCCTCATCGCGGTCAAACAACACGTCATTCTCAATGCTTGTAAGTTTACGCTGGAGTCTCGCAACTTGGGGATCCTCTGTGGTGACATTTGCCTGCTCACGACCAGATTTTTTGCCCTTCTTTGGCTGATCGAACAATTCTGGTCGGAGGCCGTACAGCTTCGTCTGCAATTCCAGGAATTTTGGAAGCAACGTGTCAGGGTCAAGTGAGCTATCAGAGTCGTAAGGACTTGAGGCGACAGGAGTGATCATCTTTACATTCCTCGTCTTCTTCGGCTGGTTGTCAATAATCGTTGCTTTTGACGGCGAGGATTCTGTCGTCTGGCTCTCTATTGTGGCGTTAGCCTCTTACACTCCGTAAATGGTCACAGCTTAAATTTACCAGAGATAAAAGAAACGAATCGCTCCGACTCATTGCGTGTTAGAGCGCTCGACTGTGTATAAGATGGTAGTTCCGCGGGAAGGCAGTGCATGGCAAGCCAGTCCAAGGACTCATCCAGGTTCGGGACCATATCTCTATTAGAACTTGTAGAGGGACCGGGCAAGTAGAGCAGCACATGTTTCAGTGCCTCCTCAACTTTCACTTCGGGAAAACCAAGTTTTATGAGCGTCTCCCGCAATGTCCAAAGTCTCATGTACAGCTCTTCCTCAGAGCCCGACCTCTTCAAGCTAGACGGTGGGCTGATTCCGCGTTCTTCCGCTTCGGCAAGACTGAGGATCAATTCCTGCGCTTCTTTAGGAAGCCACTCCGAAAGATTCAGAGAGACAGCCTGTTGCCGCAAGACCCTCCGCTCAGTTTCGAGCTTTGTGACTTGGCGGGCGGCATCGTTCTTGCATTTGGCAGCAAGCTTTTCAACCAGCAGCTGCAACTCTGCGTTCTCCAAATGTTTCTCAAGTTCCTCTGGCGAGTAGTTCTGTAGGGACGAAGGCTCTCGCTTCTCGGACGGTGGCTGGCTCGGTTCTGCCGGTGTTGGCCGGTCACTCTCAGTGACTGATCGGGAATCAACGGTCGATGCGGGGGTCGTTGAGTCCACCGATTTTGGTTTCGAAGGTACAGAAACGGTCGCGAAGCCCCTAGCGGGATTGGAGGTAGGTTTCTTCTTTCGTTTGTTGTTGGAGGGCATGACTCTCAAGGCCAAGGTCCGCCTCACTCAGAGGGGTCCCAAA